TGCGATATGTTAAAAAAAATTTGTGCTCAGAATCAAAAATTTCCACTCGCGTTTTAGACATCAAGAATCAAATTTGGTTCTGTCTGTTGAAAATTTCAGGGATTGTGCTTGTGGGTGTCTAGATGATCTCATATCAATTTTATCAAATTCCATCTAGAGCTTCCGCTTGCGCACGCGTAAATGTATTTTCATAGGTATACCAATATTTCAGAAACGGGCTATTAGATTGGGCTATATGTTGAAAGAAAGGTGGTTTTGGTGAAACAATCATTCTGTGTTTTATTTTATAAAATGATTCTGTGCAAACGCTTTTTCCTTGACACGTCTATATCTCAAAAACCGCTAGTTAGATTTGCATTAAATTTGAAAGGAAGTTAGGCATTAGTTAACAGATAATTAATTAAGTATAAATTTTATCAGATTCTATCCACTACTCTCTCAAAGTATCAACATACGGTTTGTTCAATTTGACCCAAACTTGGAGGGAATGTGGAGAATAATTCAGAAATTGTCCAGTACTAATTTCATTTAATAGTTAAAATTAATATAACTGTTAACAATATAATGGCTGTGAAATGTGGAAGTCATTGATCACACGAAATATGGGTTAGGTTAATACAATATTTTTATGAGGCTATAAAATTTTAGGTTTTTTTCAAAAAGTTAAGTTATTGTTTAGTCGATTCCAAACGTCACTGGCATGACACTTACAGCCTTCACTTAGATTTTATGTAATGTTCAGTAAATTTTAATTAACTTTTTTTTTTGTTAGTAAAAAAAAGTCTTATTTGTGATTTTGTTTGTTTCAATTGTTTAACCAGCACGTCGTGGTCTCGATTCCCTCTTAGTCATCAAAGTTCTGTCAGCTTCAATCATATTTTTATATTCCACCTTAAATTAGTTTAGTTTTGACTAAAGGAAAATATTGGTCTCGTTACCTCTGAAAAAACCAAAAGTTTAATTTTTCAAATGGATCTTTTGTTCTATCCATTTTATTAGTGAAAGCATACATATTAAGTAAATATCGCTACTATTAGTGCAAAAGGTCTTACGTAACAATTTTCCATTTTTATTCTATTGGTGCTAAAGGTGACATTTCGTAGTATGCAACTGATATAGGCAGCCTGTAAATGTGGAAAATAGCAAAATGGAAATGGAAAATAGGAAAATAAAATATGAAATTACACAAATAAATCATAAAGAAATAATTAGTTTTTATACTCTCCTATAAAACACTCAATTTTTACATGCTGCCTCTTCCACTAATAGTACTGGGATATTGATTTTAATCACGATTCATCAAATACGCGATTTGCAAATTTGGAACTCTTCCGCATTTTAGTATTAGCTGATGAACAAAATATGTGGATATCAAACCCACGAATGTTAACGAGTTACTGTATTTCCGAAAACAGCTTCTCCCGCAAATTTTATTCTTATGCTAAAAATTATAGACTTAGAAATATAGATATTGTTTATCTAATTAAAACGGTGAGGAAGCTATACTGGCCTTACTTGACAGACGTTTTTTTCATAGTAACCAGAACAAGATATGACCGTCAGTACATATGTATTATAACTCATGAACATAAAGGTGGTTATTACAATATATTTTTAATTTGAAAAGGCAGAATGAATTTCTATTTTACCTCTAAGAGCTAAGAGTTCATCTTCAGTTGTTGCTGGACTTATAAACTAAATTTTTGAATAACACGATTTATAAGAATTTTATTTATCTCTCATGGCACGGTGTATTTCAAATCAAATATTATATTCACTGATTTCTTGTCCAGTTTTCAAATTAAGAATTTACTGGTGATAATTTTTTTTATTGAGAAATAATACATTTTGCCACACTTATGGGCTCTGAATACTTAAGCTGAGTGAGGCACATTCATACTATATATACAATAATAATAAAAAATAAATAAAAATATATCTGTCTATATAACAAAGGCAAAAACTATAAAACCAAAGAAATGTAACTTGAAATCACATTAAATAAAAAAAATACAGAAATTCTTAGCAAATTAAATAAATAGTAAGTAAAACAAATAAATAGATAAAAAAATAAAAACATTCATACTTAATTACAATATTTTCAATGAGCCAAAGGAGCTCCATCAGCCCTTTCCTCCACGTGTGAAGGACAATGCGAGACTCTAAGAGTGAGGAAGTGTGTGTCAGGTGATGGCACAACTGAACATTGATCGTACATTGAAATTAAGAATTACTTAGGTCTACTTTTGCTATATATGAGAGAACAATTCATTATTAATTGAAAAAAATTTTAACCTCTACAACTCATGGACATCTGACAGTCAGTTAATGGTGCATATTTTTATTTTGTACAGATTAAAAATAGCAAAAATTCATGAATATATCCTTTAATCGATGTCTAGGATGTTGCTAGATGACATTGAATTAGTTAGAAATAATTGTTTACATTAACTTTTAGTGAGATCAACTAATATTCCCTGTAGGAACATTTATTTTAAAAATGACCCATCTACTTATACACTTGCAAACATAGATACTAGTATATTAAAAGTTTGGAGTTGTGCCAGTCTCCTTTCAAGTTACTTATATACTGATAATAGTTTTGTAATCTTTCAATTGTACTTTATTATACGTTATATTTATATCCCTATTCATCTAATTCATATTTAAACTATTTTCTCAATGCACTTCAATTTCACCTTCCTATAAGATTGAGTTAGCCCATTCAAACTCTATTTATATAAGTATTTTTTATTTTATAAATACGAATTTTCAAACTTTAAAATCACTGGCAAAATCAAGTGGAAGTTGTGAATAAAATGCTCTATATTTTATAGTCCTTAAAAGCAATAATATTCGTAATAAATTAAAGCCAAGTACTATCACTTACTTATTAGAACCAAAAAAAGGTGGAAAAAGTAGAAATTCTAAGATGGGAGAAAAATAGTGTCAATTAAAAAGTTAGGCGACCGACTAACTTCGTTAAGCAAAGTCCTTGAACCTGGAAATAAATTACCAAAATCTTTTCAGGCTTCCTTAACAAAATTTAATTCCCCTATGAACTTTCCGAGTTTCCTTCTGTATTTTTCTCCTAAACATCATTTATTAGCTAATTACAATTGAATATAACAGAATAATATATAATGTTTCTCGGTTTTAATTATTACACTATATCATCTATATCACTATACACTATATCACACCAGATCATACTTCAAATATCGACTGTGGAATTCGGCATCAGTCAATTTGTTTAAATCAAAACGACTTAAGTTGGGTTCATGAAACATTTCAACAACGCTTCACGCTTACTACAAAGTACAATAGTTCATATGACTTCTAAAGTCAGTTTATCTAATAGAAACCAATCTATCAAACAAAGCATTCTTTTTTGCATTATTAATTGTTAGAATTATATTAAAATTTGGTAAACGACGATTTGTGATAAAAAGATAATATCTTATTTCATGAGCTATGTATGTTTATTAGCTATCTATTATTTACTGTTTATAAACACTTTCTACTATGTTTGTAAATTAGATTGTCTTTTATGATTAATAAAAAAAAGGAATAAAATTAAAATATAGAAGATTATTTTAAAAATCATTTTTTCGTCATTACTTTATTTTAAATATCCAAAAATTTAAAAGGAGAATTTGAACCTAATTATTTAAAAATATTTATAACTATTTAAATATTTTTTCGAAATTGCTATAATTATTATTACTTCATGGTACAAAAAATATAATCGAAAGTTGTTTGAACCAAATTAGCTCCCATTGAAGTGTTGATTTTCATAATAATTTTTTGCAAACGGCAATAAAACTTTAGTAGGTTTACGTTTTCTGTAATCTCTTATTACACTCCGGTTATATTTTAAATTAAACTTGAACGTTCAATTTGTATTTTTCCTGACATTACGTGAACGAATGAATGTTGTGGCCAATAGTTTCGCACTTATAAGAAAGTGTTTGAATTAAACTTCCTTCCAGGGGAGAAGGCAATTTGGGATTTTCTTTCAGTTACAATTTATGACGAGATAATGTTTTAGCACTTTCAATTTTTAACATCACTATACTGTATTAAATGGAGACTTACATACTTTGCGATTTATATTGTATGTACGATGTCTGTGAAGGAATTCTTTACTGCTGACTGTCTTCCATATTTATTTTTGAAAATCAAGTAGAATATATTTTGTATGATATGAAAATAAATATATTTTGATTTTTCCCAACTATTAAAACCCTCCTCATTTGAATCTCTCGTATTTATATTTTAAAATAAAATCGAATTAAATCATTCGTCACTAGTGCGTTGACAAAACCTTCTGACATACTGTGATTAGGGATTTTTAGTAACACCTATCAAAAATATTTAAAACGATTCCCAAATCTCATCAAGGAAAACAGCCTAAAGAAAAATCCACATAGATATACGCTATTTATCACAAAACAAATAAATGAACTCCTATGTAACGCTACTATGAGAGGTACCTGAGGGGGAACAAAAAATTCTCCTGCATCACTCGAGAAGACAATTAGTCCAACAGACTGGAAAATCTTTCTCCTTGGTTTTTAATCTTCTTTCAACTGAATTAATACAGGAAAAATATCTTCAAAATTTTTCTCACTCATTCTATTTTCTAAAAGTGTTAGAGATTTTTATTCTATTTTAGCAATGTTATTATGATTCAAGATATGAATCTATATATATGAATATATCATTTCATTCTTTTAAAACTGCTAATAATGTGTTAATTTTATTTATTAGTTTATAGCCTCGACTTTTCTTCATTAATTATTATCCTCTCACGTTTTACCCATAGCTATAATTTAAAAAACAACCACTCTTAATTTATTTTTTTTATATACATCGTATACACAATATACACAATATACATCGTAGAATCTATATTGAAATATTCATATGCATTTTTTAACTTTCATAGACATAAACTTTAGATCTTCTTCATTTTATTTGTATTGTTTGTTTCTGGTATTTTTTTTAAACAAATTTTCATTTATTTCTATTTTTATAATATTTTACTACTTATAATATCTTAAATTTAATAAAATCAATAATAATTTCTGCATCATAAAAAAAAAAATCATCAAATTTTTTATTGACTAACAATCTCCACTGCTTTGATAGACATGAAGTTTTCAAATTATAAAATAAAATAAATCTACTTAGCATTAGAACATATTTACGTTTCATGCCAAATCTCAGCACGAATTGGACCGATTTCGATGATTTTTTAAAAATTTATTTTTCCCTTATTTTTCAAATATCCATACAAACAATTAATAGTATATTTTCAGTTATTTGCAAATGAAATTCTTGATTAACTTGACATTTTTCCGACTTTCTTTTATTGTTACTGTCATTTTGGTGCTATAGTCTATAAAGAATCCTATCAAGTTGAAAGGATCATCCTTGTTGACCTTTAACTTAGGTACCAAATCTCAAAAAAAAAAAAAAAAAAAAAAAAAAAAAAAAAAAAAAAAAAAAAAAGCGCCTCTATTTTGACCTAAAAACGTGACCTTCAACCTATCGTGAAACACAAAACCTCAAATTCTGAGAGGGTTAACTTTTTATTTTTTCTTGTTCGATTACAATGGTTCAATATTGAAAAAAAATTGTGCAATATTTTTTTACGTTTTAAATTTGATTCATAGACTTTTGTAGTCTAGCAATAGCATAGTTACTTCAGTTTCTCCGTTCTTCCCAATCGATAAAACATTTTTCCGTCATTAATTTCATTACGTGATGGTAAACACACATTTTCTAATCTGCTGCTCATAAATTGGTAATAATCTTAGGGCCCGCTGAGCAGTAGATTAATTGAGGGGAAGGGATAGGGTCATTAGTGGGATTGGGCCTAATAGGCGGGAGTGGGCTGCATATTCGATGTGCCTGCATACACAGATAGCAACTCGAGTTATTCAGCTTGGCTCTCCAATGTCCTACCGTGTCCTTCTTCAGATAGCTGGATAATACCTCCTCCAGCTATTAATGAAAATTGCAAAACTTTAATGCTTTTCTATTCATACAAGCTTATTATGTTTTTTAGAAGATATCCTCTATGAAAAGTTTCAGCGAACATGACATTTAATAAAAAGAGATGTACATTAAAAATAACTGACGCTGATTTAGCTCGAGCCAAATACCTATCCTTTCATGATAAACTCCAGTTCCATCCAATCCACTTGTTTCCAGCCTTGCTTCTTCCTCGATTCCTGATAATCTCCCTAGGCGTCTGAAAAAAGAATGGCCTCGTGATGTTCTCACCTAGAACTAAATAGGGAGTGCTACCACTGGGCAGTATCTCTTCAAGTCTATTCATGTCATGATTTCTAATGTGTGCATTTTTACTAGCTGTATTGTTTATACAGTTGTAAATTTCATTAAACAAATAAATAAAACATTCAAAATATCTGGCCGAAATTTCAATTATAATAAACAAATATTTTTTTTTTCTTATCGACAGCTACTTTACAAAACCTGTTACTACAAAAACTAATAACTATATTATTCCTCTTCTTCTTCTGCGCTATCTTCCTCCTTATACCATATTTGCTACCATATGTGCCATGAAGGAGGCACTACCTGGCCTCACATTCCTTGCAGAGTTCCTGCAATACTTTGGATGTACTCACCATATAAAATTCTAGGCCTTCTGCTTGGTCTCTTGCTACTATTTCGAGCTTCCATTACTTTTCTGGGTACCCGGTTATCGCTCATTCTACAAACCTAATCGAACTATTTGAGCTGTCTTTTTTCAAGAGTGGGTTATAGCCCAAGAATTTTCAGCTTCTTCCAACTCCTTTCATTTCTTTCAAGTTTTCTCAAATTTTCTTGTGACTCTACATAAGCATTTCATTTTAGCTCCCGTGTTTCTACTTATCTGCTTGTCAACCAATATTTGTAAATATGAAACTTGGTTTTGTTTCATACATCTTGATGACCAACTATGTTGTTAGAAATACCATAATAAATTTGATTGGCTCGAACAGTTTTATTTACATATATATATATATATATATATATATATATATTAAAGAAAAAATAAACAAATTTTTCTATTAAACCAAACCCTTATTGAACAAATTGCGAATTTTCTTTCCACATATTGAATTTTTTGGAAATGGCTCTCTATCTGTAAAAATTGCTTACAAATATTTGTGGAAAAACATATATTTGCCACAGCCTCCAAAAAAATAAAACTATTTGTATGTAGGCCATGTCACATAAATATGTTTATTTTTCCAACTTGTTTTGTACATTTTTCCATTAACAGAAATCATAGCATGGTTAGGTTTTAAATATTAACAAATATAAAAAGAAATTTGATTTGTTAAAATATATTGAGTAATATGTATTTGTATATTACATAAAGTAGACTAAAATTACAACAGACAGAATTTATTTTAATATCACATTTCTATTTTAATATTTTTGCAGTAGATTGAAGTTGGTTTATAACAATTTATAATTACTTAGATTTGATGGCACTGCATACGAGATCTGAAAAATTTCTTTGGCAACTAGGCGAAAATATGGCCGCTTTGACAACTACGTCAAGGATCCACTGAAGTTTAGGTGAAATAACATTGAGAATTGTTTCAGATATTTTACTAATGAAAGGGATATCAGTTGGTTGAATGTCTATTTGAAATTTATCCAAATGGACAACTTCGGCACTAGAAATTACAGCATCGCACTCTGATCCAGGACCGACGACGACGATACCTTGTAGGGCAAGAGCGTTATCTTGTGGTGAAATTGTCAACTGACCCTCCTGGGAGTATAGGCCTAAGAAGCTGGCTCGGAACTGATACTGCACCAAGAGAACATCGAGGCTCAAGTTGAGGTCGAAGGTGTAGGTTGTTGAGCCGTCCTGGTTCTTCTTCTGGTTGACGAGGGGTGTCCCTGTAAGTTGGATGGTATCGAACTGACTTACCTTTCCTTCAGTCAGCTTCACAGGGTCCAAGGGCAGGACGCCGATGTTGGGAAGTGACAGGGAAGTCAGGAGATGATCCGTGAGGTAGTTGTTGGCGTTGGTTATGACCTCATTGATCTTCTTGACAACGGGATCATCGTCCTCGAGAGAACTGAGGGCAGCCCCGAAATGGACTGAGCAGAGCAGAGCTCCTAACACTGACCAGAGAGCAACCATGGCGACAGTGAGATCGTATCGTTCCTCGACTCAGCCATTTATATGCTCTTATGTTTTATCAATCATTCTGATAAGGTTTAGTGATAAACATGAAATTTTATAAAGTATTTTATTTTTGTCTAATTTGTCAGTGCAAATTAATAACACTTGAGGGAAAACAGGGTATTTGCTATTGAAATAATTTATGAAGAAATTAAATATTCAAATAATTTAAATATTTTCATCAAAATATGTTTGAATTATGCATGTATTATTCACTTCTAGACCGGCTTATAGAACCATACATGGATATTTTAAAAATTAAGTAAAAAGTTTAACGGTGCCTAAAGTGGGGTTATGGTCAAAAAGACACACCTAAAGATACATATTGTTCATTATTATGGGCTACAGCGGTCTTGTAGAACAATCCTTTTATCGAATATAAGCTATTTTATATAATTAATTAATGATACTGATCATTAATACTCGTAATTACCAATAGGGATATTTTCTAAGGAAAAGGAAGTTGTCAATATGATACTTCACTTCTAAGACGTGAATAGGAGTAAGCAGCTTCCTAACCATGCAGACCCATTAGCCATTCTCTGTGATGATCAAGGTACTGGAAAATCTCATATAAACAAATCTATGACTGGTTCTTACAAGGGCCAGTCATCCACGGCAATATAGACGTACCAAGGAAAAGGGAACTTCAAATGCCATGCAGATGCTTCGAGTTCACGCGGACATTGAACCAAGGAAAGAGCAATATGTATGTAGCAATATGTTGCAGCTAAGTGGCATATCCTAAGACTTTGAAATCATCAGAAGGCTACGAGTGCTGTTTCAGTTGCAGAAGTACGAAATCCCCAGCAACTTAAACATCCTTGTAGGATTTATTCGTAAAGTTTAGAGGGAATTTTTATGTGCGAAATTCGGTCGGTTTTCGAGTACTCCTAGGGTTATAAGAAGGATAGATCACACCCTAAAACCTCAGATCTCTAGATCTTTAACACAAGAATCTGTCTGAGTGAGGCAGTCACTTACATTGCCATAAGGTTCGGAAGAGTATTTAATAGTATCCATTTTAACATCAGAACAAAAGGACCAAATTTATATCTTATTAATTTACAAAGTTATTTATAACCAGACCTACTTGGCTTTTTCGTAACTACAGGACTCTGGACAGTGCCGTACACTATGGCCTTGAGCTCTGGTCTTTGTTCTGATCATTCTTGTTCCAGTTTATTAATTTGTGACGAGTCTTGTACTGCACCTTAAAAAACCATCCTGTAGGAAGTATATTTGAAGGAAAACTTACATCGATTACTTGAATTCGATGTTCTCATTTCCAATGCCTTAAAACTGAAGTTGTACCCGAGGCAGCGATCGAAAAGTTCACAACAGGCTCTATGGCCATCAGCTATATCATGGCCCCGCAGAAGTAAGTCTGTTCCAAACTATCACCACTATATCTGAGATCTGACCGAAGCAAAGAGAAGATCCCTTAAAGTATGACAGACTAACCTACTTCCATTTGATAAACGGTCTTTCAATAAAACTAACAATGAACTTTAGTAACACATTCGGAATTTTAAAAGAACAAACTCAGCAAAACGAATATGATTGCTGGGCTGTGTCAGACATTGATAAATCTGAGCTCTTTGTCAACCATCTTTTTTCTATTTATACACTATATACTCATTTCTGTAAAATTGGACACGGAAGATGTACAAAACACATTAGACATTCTTTTGTAATTGTCATTACCTCCATATTGCTCTTCATGTTAGACTGCAAAAATATGGCATTTTAGTTTCCTCCAATTTAAATTTGTGAGAAAATTTGGCCTTATTCTGGTCAGTTCTCAAGTTTATTATCAGGATAATGTAAATATTTGTAGCATTACAATAGTTAAATGAATAAAGAGTGAAATTTATAAAAATCGAGCATTAGTCTTCAATTGTTTTAGCAATTAAGTCATTGTCATCACACAATTTATTTTTTATCTTATGATTCACTTCAACACTATCTATTCATAGAAAAATAGATAGTTCAGATCTTGTGTTGAATTTACAAGGAATAAAGGACAATTTATTGATATTATAGATATTTAATGATATTATGGTCAAAATAATATATAAAAAATAAAGTATTTATTGAAATAAACTGGAAAACAAATTACGTTAGACGAGCGTGCGGTATTGAATAGCGTTGTGAATCTAATTTTATTATTGAAAAAAAGCTATTATCATAACAACCTTTATCAAATTACATAAGGTGGTGACAAGCAGAAAGCAGCTCGAGTGAAGTGTGTAATTGAACTTTGCAACTTCGTGTTGTTTATAATTCTCATACAAATAGATGTGACACCATATAATAGCTTTTTTTTTAATATGTTCATCATGAACCTAACTTTCGAATCTGACTTTTGAAATTTTACATTCTGCTTGATGACTCATGTTACCTTTTGTTTTATTATTTATTTATTACAGAATTCGAAAAATTAAATAAACTTTTTTTTTGCCCATCCGCCGTCAGCCGTCCGCCGTCTTCGCATTTTCTCCGAAACTACTGGACCGACTTTTTTTTTCAAATTTGGATTTAAAATTAGAGGATGGGTCACCCGAGGATGATCCTCCTTCATCGAATTTTCTTTCAAGTGGCGACCGAAAAAGCTGCGTTGCTATAGACTGTAACGCCGAATGTACCGATTTCAATGAAACCGCTAAAGTCTTCTTCTTGGTGCCCTTTAAATTTATCTATATGATATACCTCAACGAAAAGAAGCTGGAAAAAAAGTTTCGAGCGATAGTAAAGTTAGACTCCGAATAACTCAAAAAGTATACACTTGTTTGTTGATATTGTGATAAGATCTTTCAAAGGTATTCAAGTTTCCTAAATAATGAAGAAAGTTTCATCGAAATCGAAATCTTGGTTATTCTAAAAATTACGGATTTCTTAAAAAAAAAAAAATCGTTAACATCGGACAATTAGGAGCAAAGATATGGTCTCTAGATGTTTTTTATTATATGTTCTACTGCAAAGGTTATATCCTTTGTTTTGGTTTTTGATTGTTAAATGTGTTACTGAAGTAATTCTAATTCTTTTAGCAAATTACTAATGATTAAAAAAAATGTTAAGTCCAATAATTGGAATCACCTTTTATTTCTTTTTTTTTTTTTTGTCACTAGGATGGTAATGTTACTTTAGATGTATAATTGTTTGGAAATAATAAACCATTGTGAAATCATTTGCGGCGTTTTTTATTTAGGTGTTGTTCGATTGCCTAGCAACTTTTGAAATATAATACTTTTCATTCATCTATTGAGTCACGTGCTTCACAATATCAACAGACATAAGGTCAATGGTACTCCTGTTTGTATCAATATATGATCGTCCTGGATATAGAGGGAGGAAAAGAGCGACATAATTTAGAAATTTATATTAAATTTAAGTTAGTAAATTTCAAATTATATATATTTATAATATAATTGTTCTGCGTTTGATTTTTTATGTGTGGGTGTGTGTGTTTGTGTGTCAACAATAGTATGATAATATAAATGAATAAAATCTCATCAAGAGACAGAAAATCGATGGTGTGTTATAATTTGAAAAATCATAACACACAGCCTCGATTCTCTGAAATTCTGGAAAATAATAAAATAACTTGTCAACTTTACAACAAATCACACATCATCAGTCCATAAAAAAGAAAACAGATCACTAAACTCATGTAATTTATTCTGTTTCATTAGCCGTGGATCGATCCTGGGGTCGGGGGGGCCTCCTGGGACACATCCAACCTCTATAAAGTGGATACTCTTCATTAATCAATTAAGGGGAAAAACTTGAGTGATGAGCGTGATCTCGGTCAAATCAAGTCTTTCCACCACTTGTGACTAACGAACATAGGTGCAAACTTCGGATAGAGGGAAGGGGACGAGGGGGGCGATCGCCTTCCAAATAAAAAGATAGAGAGGGCAAGATTATCATTAACCCACTCCCCAATATTTCTAAAAACAAAAATAAATTAATAATTTATAACAATTTATAGACATGAATGAATAAAATATGCAAACTAAAATCAATTAAGAAAGTAGAAAAACTTTATATGTAACGTATCATAGGATTTTGTGATTCATTCATGCCCACTCTTCCATTTTTACGTGAAGATTTTATCACATTCCCCTCGGCAAATTTGAAGCATTGAAGAATTCAGAGTTTATTTCACTGCCTAAAGCCTTAAACTAAATAAAAATATTTAGCAAATTTTATTGCTTTGTTAACATATTTTCAATATTGGATAATAATTATTACATAACCCAAACGCTAAAAAAATAATATATTGTATTAACATATATATATACATTTTATCTTACATATATTGTTAATTTTTTAATATTTGTGCTGATTGTGCTCATAATTTCCATTCATAATTTTTATACATAATATAAACCTCCGAGTTTTTTTTTTTGTTTTTTTTTCGACCCCCCAACCAGAGTAAAATGTCTGCTCCTATGCCAACAAAAAGTAATTCCTTACGTAGTACTGAACCCAAGAATTTTCTTAAGCTGTAGTGGTACAGGTTTTGTTATAGAATAAGCTGACGACAGCTAAAATTATTTTTAATTAAAATTTCTGATATTAAAATATTCTTATGATCTCTATTTAGGTCTTTCTCTTAAATCTATATCATAAATTAGACGTGCTAAAGTGGAAGTATGAGAAAAAATCATGAGATTAGTATTTTCTTTCTATTAGAAATATTCCTTTAATTTTTTTCACAATATTCTTGTTATTCTTAATTACTTTATTTCTTATTTGGTATTATTTTGAGGGATTTTGCTTTTCTTATCTACATTTTTGGAACATTTGAGGTCTATATTTTTTAAAAAATAAATTATATGATTTAAAATTCTGTTTACTCAACGTACCTGAATTTTAAACAAAAGTAATTACTATAAGGTATTTATTTTTTCTGTGGTTTAGATTAAATTGTATTTTAAATTCCAAATTAATTACTAAAATATACTTTTTATTTACAAAAGGT